AGCGCTGTGACGGGCAGGGCGGTGAAGCAAAGCGGCGTCTGGAAAATCACGTGTTACCCACTCTCCGCTTCTTTTCTGTCATTTACTGCTCGGTCTCTTTTCAGGAATCGGTTCTGAGAATTCTYGGGGTGGTGTCCCCCTGTCTCAGGGCTTTAGGGGGGACAAAGAGCCGCCYGACCTGCAGGAGCGGCTCTGGTGGGGCTGTCCCTGCCCCCGTTAGAACGAGCTGAGGTTTAAGGTCCCTTCAGACACAAAGCCTGGGATTCTCTGCTCTGCCGGCCCGGTGGGATGGAAGGGTTAACCCTGTGCTAGGAGAGGGGATTCTGCTGCTGCTGCTGAGATSGGGGGAGAAGAGACGTGGAACAGGGGATGGAGAAGGGACAGCGAGTGGGGGTTGTATCCTTTGTAGCCATGGGCTGAGGTGTGCCCCAGAAATTGCCCTTGAGACGGGCACTGCGGGGTGGCGGGGTGTGAAATGCAGAACACGGACACAGATCCAAGCAGGGGGCACGGGAAGGGTCGGGGCAGCTGCAGCAGCCCCCTCCCACCTCTGGGAGACACAGAGGTGCTGTCTCTGCTCCCCTGAGGAGGTGGAATTTGGCCCTGTGGTTTTTAACTCATCYTCTCAGAGTTTGTCAGATGAGGCAGTTTTTAAATTCATCATTCATCACTATCATCGCTGTATTGTGTTACCCAAAACTGTTAGGGGAGTATTGCTTAATGAAAATGAATGATTTGATGTATGGCACCGCCTAGAGAAAACAGTACATTTACCATTTAATAAACTATATATTTTTTTCAGGGAAAAAACTGGCTAAGCCTACTGCAACTTAGACTCAACTGAGAGCTGCTTAACACAACCCAACACAGCCTATGGGATGGAAATGCAGAGCTTGGGACTAAAAATCCCATGGGGGAGAGAGACCCCCAGGTGTAGTTAAACCTTGTGTTTGTTTTATTCTCTAGATACCTGCACCACTGGAGTTTATTAAGCTGTGAAGAAAACCCCGTGATACTGAAATTCCTTTTCCTGCACTCGTACATCAACTGTGTTTGAACCCAGGACAGGGAGCTCAGCTGCAGAAACAGAAGTGAGTTGATCAGAGAAGTCTCATATTTCTACTGAAGGGATGTGACATTTTAAGGCCAAGGTTGTGGATTTTTTATCAGCATATAACTGTATCATGGAATTGATTTAACAAGCTCCAATTCTACCAGATACCAATGCAAGTGCTGGGATTCTGGGATGAGCTGCAGTTTTGCTTCTGCGTTTCACACCTAAAATGGGTCTGTTTTGAGTGCTACTGAAATACTTCATGTCTTAAAATACTGTATTTACTGGAAGCCCTGCAGGTGGAGGTTGAGGTGACAAAGGGCAGGTTAGAGGTGGCTCGAGTCCATCTCAGGGCTCTTCATTCAGGATGTGCTCTTGCCTGGTGTGTGTGTCTCCAATATTGGTTCTGTTTTCTGATTAACTTCCTTAATCCCGGGGCTTTTAAGTACAAATCCAGCTGTACAGGACAGGTCTGTGTGTAAATAAGGGATTGTGCTTATCTATATGCCACTATAAATATGTAAGAAGTGTTGTACATAGGAAAGAAGAAATGGCTCCAAGAATGTTTTCAGAACTGTTCCCTTGGTTTAAATGCCCAGCCAGGAGATTGCCATCCCTGTGCCCTCATTTCCCGGGAAGGGATCCGCAGGCTCTGGTCACTGCCCGCTCCCTCGGGGTCTGTGCGGGGTTTGTGGGTGGCTTGGGGCCAGGCTGAGCTGAGCTGAGCTGAGCTGAGCTGAGCTGAGCTGTGCCAGGTCTCAGTGCCACCTCCTCACTCTGCTCCTGTGCATCTTTCACCAACGCATTTCGGAGCCCCAGGACAGCTCTGGGGCAGTGCCCCAATCCCTCGGTGCCCGGTGTGGGGTGCAGCAGCAGCAGAAGGGGGTGCCACCCCCACCCCAAACCCAGCACCSTGTGTGCATCAGGCCWGGACTCCTTGTTCAARCTGCTGGAGGATGTGGCTGTTCTCTCCAGTATTCTGCTCTGTAATATCTGTAGCCTTCAGTGATTCCTTGAGTGCCTTAYGTGGCTTGTGGACAGAATTCCTGACCAGGAAGAGGAAATGCCCCTGGACTGAGGCGGCTCCTTCGCACCCCTGTGCCCCTGGCCCTTGCTGGCAGCACAGGAGGGGATTTAGCTTCGACTCAGGAAATCGCCGTGTGAATATGTGTATTAAACCCTGTATGATGTTCTGTACAGTTTATAAAAAGGGACTATTGTAAACTTTATGCAAAAGGTAACGCAGAGAAGATGGAGGGTTTTGGTCCACTGGCTGGTGTGCCATGGCCCGTGTCCTCTAACCTAACTCCAGAATCATATCCAAAATACAGAACGTTGGGTTCGGTGCCGTGACAGCAACTGACAGCCCAAAACCAGGGGCTGGAGCGATTGATTAGAGAATTTTACAGATATTTTTGTATTGTGATTCCTATGATATATATCGAGATACTTTCTATTCCTTTGTAAAATACATAAATTATTGTCAACTTTTAATTAAAAAGATCTGTTTTAAACCTTCAAATTAGATGCATTGGTTTGGGGTTGAGGGGATGGGGAAGCTGGACTGTGATTCCAGCCCCGGGAGATGCCCGGCAGGGCTCGGGGGGCGTTCACCCGATCCCCGGGGCAGCCAACCCCGCGCTGTCTCTGCCACCGCAGASGCTGGGAGATGTCACCTCCCGGTCGTGTGTGGGGATGGGCACGGGTGGATGGGCACGGAGGGGCGGGGGGTCCTTGGGCGGCTCTTAACTGGCGCTGGGCTCTGCTGCCCAGGGCGAGCGCTGCGGGATCGCGGCGGCAGCGGCAGCAGCAGCTCAGGGGTGCCGGGCCCATGTCGGGGCGGCAGGAGGAGGCTCTGCCCGCCTGCTTTGCGGGGCTGGGGGCGGGCAGCCCGCGGCCGCGGCAGAAGCGCGGCGGGATGTTCTGCAGCGTGGAGGATGCCTTTGACAACAAAACGCTCAACTTCGCCTCGCTCGCTGCCTCCGGAACGGGGACGCCCGTCGGGAGCCGCCGGCGCGACAGCCACCCGGGACGGAGTCCCGACAGGGGACCGAGCCCCGACAGCGACACCGGCCCCAGCCCCGGCCCCGGTCCCTGTCCCAGCCCCGCCGCGGCCGCGCCGCCCCCGAGAGCCGCCGCTCCGGCAGAGCTGCCCGACGGCTGCCGGCAGGTAACGGGACCGCACCGGGACAGGGCCGGGGGCTCTCCCGGACACAGCCGGGCCGAGACCGCGCCGGGAGGGCAAGCGGGCCCCCCTCCGTCTGTCCTCATCCCATCCCATCCTATCCCGTCCCTTCCCTTCAGTTCCGTTACGTCCCGTCCCAATGTATCCTGTCCCGTCTCTTCCCGTCCCATCCCGTCCCATCCCGCCCGGTGTCCGCGCTATCCCCGCCCCGGGAGCGGCGCTGGCACCGTCCCTTTGGAGCGGGTTCGAGCCGGGCACGGGCCGAGGGCCCCGCTTTTCTCTGGGGGACACGCCTGTCACCAGCCCCGCTCCGCTGGCCCCGTTCTGTCCCCGCCGGATCGGCTGTGTGGCGGCGCCGGGAGCGCGGGGGACGGGCGGGGGCGCGCACGCAGGCGGGGACGCGCAGCGCCGGGCGCGGGGACGCGCTCAGCCCCGCACACACGAGCGGAGGTGGCGGAGATGTCGCTGCAGGGCAGGAAGAGCGTGACCCGCGCCACGGTGAGGGCTCCCTGCGGCCGAGGGCTGCGGGACGGCGGGGGCTGCGGGCTGGGGCCGGGCCGGGGGTGTCCCCGGGCGGGGAGGGGGCGGTCTGGCACAGCCGGGAGCGCCGCGGGTCCCGTTCGCCCCGAGTCCCGGTCCTGCCCGCCCGGGGTGCTCGCCCGGCGCTGCCGAACCGCTGTCCCTGTCCCTGTCCCCTGTCCCTGTCCCTGCCCGGTCCGCCCAGCGCCCCCCGCTCCGCTCCGCTCCTCTCCGCTCCTTTGTTGCGCGGCCCGGCCGGAGCCCGGCGGTCCCGGCGCTTTGTCCGGCGCTGCCCGGGGGGACAAAGGCGGGTGTTCTCCTCACCCCGCCGTACCCCCGGCTGCCCTTTGGCTGGGGCGAGAGATGCGCTCCGAGGCCGCTTTTATCGCGGGATGGGCTGGGGAGTGTGAGAGCGCCTTCCAGCCGTGTTCCTGCCCCCCGCCCCAGCTTTGGGGTCCCCCCCGTCCTCCCCGGTGCCCCCGCGGCTCCCCCGGCGCTCCCCGGCCGGGCTGCGTGGGAAGGGATTCCCTTCTGCCACCGCCAGCGCTTCCCAGCAGGAGCCGGGACAAATCCCTCGATAGCGATGCCTTGTGTTTTGGTTTTTCTGCTTTTGCTGGCTCGTGGCAGAAATGGATTGGAAAATCCCGGTGGGTGCGGGAGCGGGGACCAGACGCGTTACTGGGCTGCGGAAACAGAGAGTGGGTGTGGGGGGCTGGAGCTGGGGTGGGGATGGGGTGACGATGAGGGTGAGGATGAGGATGGGGTAAGAATGGGGATGGGGTGAAGATGGGCCCCACAAGGGGAGGGGCCGTCAGGCTCTCCCGTGGAGCAGCAGCACTGAGGCTTCTTTTGATTGATGTTATGGGACAAGGGAAAACAATAAAGACACAAYAAATCCTTGACAGTTCAAAGAAAAAGGAATGCAGTTCTTTAATTTTCCTTTTATTTTCCAGCGATGCTCTTTTAAACAAGCCCCAGAATGTTTCTAGGCAGTTTTGCCTCCGTACCCAGAGCTTTGTGGTGCAGCATCTCCAGGCTGTGCTGCCACGTGCTCGCCCGTCCCTCGGTGGTTTTGTGCCCAGGCCGTGCTCTTTGTGTTGCCCATTTCAGCATTGGTAATAATTTTTCAAGCAGCACCAGAGAGCAGGAAAGGAATCCTCTGAAATTAGGCTGCAGCTTCACATAGACATCAGTGTTGCTGCTTCCTAAATTTTCTAGTTAAAGATTCTGGGTAAAGATTSTGCAAATCTGACAACTGTGCCAGTGTCTGGCTTTGAAGTGAGGCAAGTCCTCGAGGCTTTATCTGCCTCTGMCGAGACTGTGAAAACTAATGAATGGCAATAAATTACCAGGTTAATGAGATGCAGTGAGCAGGCTCGTGAGCTGAGGGAGGAGGCAGGAGCTCAGCTCAGCCCTCGGAGCTGGGGGGTCCCAGGGCTGCTTCTCCAAATGAAGCTGTAGAATAATCTGAATAGTCACTGAACTTGTGTGATTGGACGAAAAATACTAAGTCCTGAGATTTAATTAAAGCTTGGAATGAGTAAAATGGAATCTAAATAAAATAAAATAATCTAAAAAGTACGTGGTTTTTTTCCCATTAGAGTGACCAGCTTCTAATCAAAGGAGGAAAAATTGTCAATGATGACCAGTCATTTTATGCAGACGTTTATGTGGAGGACGGTTTAATAAAGTAAGTTAAAAATTTATGTTTGGTAATGTAATTYCTTAGAATGATACAGTGYMATGGGATTTGAACAAGGTTCCTTCMYATCATTTTWATCTTGGAAATCYATTCYYTTTTCAAAAAACAAAGGCAGCATTTTAGAGTGGTGTCAACAAAGAGCTGCACTGGTGTAGTTCTGCGCTGGAAAGTCTTGCTGAGCACCAGCAGCCTGGGGAGAAGCAGCAGAGGTTGTTTGGGTATCCTTAATTCAAAGTTGTTGCCAATTAAGAGCTCTTGATTTCCTTTCCAGGCAAATTGGAGAAAACCTGCTGGTTCCCRGTGGCACAAGAACGATCGATGCGTACGGGCAGCTGGTGATGCCGGGGGGCATCGATGTCCACACGCGGCTGCGGGCGCCCGGCATGGGCATGAGCCCGGCYGACGGCTTCTTCCAGGGCACCAAGGCAGCGCTGGCAGGAGGCACCACCATGATCAGTAAGAGGGACACATCCCACAGCTCTGAGTGTTCTAGAATGCACCGTGCCTTGAGACACTGCAGGGGGATTTATTTACCTCTGTAGCACAGAAGTGTCTCCAGTTTCTGCTGCAGAAATCGAAGCGTCACAAAGAGAATTAAAGGCGTTTTCGTCCCTTGTTGCACAGAGATACTAAAAATACACACGTACATCAAAAATACATCTGCTCTTGCCTTCCCTCATCAGAGAACAAACACA